AACTGCTGACTCGAGTAAGACGGTCTACCTGGGTCAGTGCCATTACTCCATAAATAGTCACTTTTTCCAAAACTGTGCTCAGATTTCACGTTGTACATTTCACAGAGAACCTAGACTTGGGTGACAGGTTCTGACGCCCATAATCAGTCAGGGCAGACTGACTTTGACAAATGATCATCTCATTTGAAAAAAAAAATAGTCGCAAATTTGTGCTTTCTTCCTCCTCTCTGGACAAAAACCCATCAGAAAAGATTTTAGGGTATACTGCACGGAATGACTCCCTGCAGTAAATCGGCCCCCCAGAAGCACAGGATGAGGGTGACGCTTGACAAATATTTCCTGTAAGGAAGTTCATTAAAAATTATCTTCCACGTATCTCTATTTTCTTCAGAGCCTTCCTAACAAAGATTCTGCCATGCAATTTCTGTTAACAGCTCTAAATGATGGGGAAAAAAATTTTACTATCATGCAGACATTTTCAGTTTCTTTTTCTTGGCCTTCAGTACAGGAGGTAGCGAAATCTTAAAGGCTGTCCTGAAATGATAGAAGAAAATACTTTTTAATGCTCTAAGTCTCTAAAGGACGAGCCAGCCACACAATCTCAAAGGTACTTACTCGCAGGTAGTGCAGATAGGACTGAAATTGCAGAATACTGTAAATTAAAAAAAAAAAATCAAACTGAGTGGTTTGAAAACTACACAGTTCAGATATTCTCTGCACACTCCCTCCAAAATAGAAAAAAAGAAAAACTCAGCACATAAACTTACTTGACAAGCACACAGAACAGACGTAGCCAATTTCAATGAGATTTCGGTGACAGAAGCAAGCAGCCCGGTAGTCAACGTGAACCTGGGGGTGGGAGGATTAACTGAGATCGCTGATCTTGATCAGGAAGAAAAACCCACTGTATTAAAAAAAAAAAAAAGCAAGGAAATTGTGTGAAGTCACACAACAAACACTCTGCATACAGCTTACAGGCTCCAAAGATGCCCTGAAACCCACCCTTCTCAGCTCAAATCCCCTGGGTCACCCATCTATTCCTGTCTTCCAGTTACTGGCGTCAGCTGTCTTGCTCCTATTCATTCCCCAGGAAACAGGGGTCTCACTCGACTCAAGGTGCTGGGTTCACCGCTGCTGTTTCCTTACCAGTAAATACTGCAGGAGGGAGGGCATCTGAGGCACCTTCAAGTACAGTCCCCCCGTGATGTCACAAGCCTGCAAGACACACAAAGGGCTCTCTGCCAAACAAGCACTTGCTTAGCTTTTCCAGAGGAAGATCTAACACAGCAAATTGAAAGGGTACGTTTTCCCAGAGTGAGTGAGGACCAGAAGCTTGTAGCTACCTCTCAAGATGTTCAAGTATCTTGTTTTTCCCCCTTGGCTCAAACCCTTTCAACCCTTTGAAGACTACAGTATAAGACAGTATATGACTTTTTTCCTGTTTGTTTGCTACTGATAAAATTTTTATTCTTGCCATTACATTTTTAAATAACAACTCTTGAGATATAATTCACATGCTGTAAAATTCACTCTTTTAAAGTATACAAACTCCTAGCTTTTAGGATATTCACAGAGTTGGGCAACTGTCAGCACTCTCTAGTTGCAGAATGTCTTCATAAACCCCAAACAGAAATCCCTGCTCATCAATGTCACTCTCCATCCCCTGCTTCCCCAGACCCTGGCAACCACTAATCTGACTTCTGTCTCTACAGACTTGCCTGTTCTGGGCACCTCGTATCAATGGAATCAGACAACATGACTGGCTTCTTTCACTTTGGATAATGTTCTCAAGGCACATCTAAACTGTAGCATGAATTAATACTTCATTCCTTTTTATGGGCAAGTAATATTCCACTGTATGGACAGACCACAGTTTGTTTAACCATTCATCTGCTGATGCGCATTCTGAGTTGTTTTCACCTCTGGGCTATTAGGAATAGCACAGCTATGAATATTCATGTTTAACTTTTTTTTCGTGGACACATATTTTCATTTTTCTTGAATATATATCTAAGAATAGAATTGTTGACTCACCTGGTAATTCTAGGTTTAACTTTCTGAGGAAGTTTCAGACTGTTTTCCAAAATGGCTGTACCATTTCACATTCCCAACAGACACCACACGCCTACCATCAAGCTTAAGAAATAAGACCATCCCAGAGCCTTTGCGGTTGGTGTACTTTCTGATTCTGTCTCCCCTTCCCCAATCCTCATCTCCAGCAGTAACCTGAAGTTTTCTACAATTTCATGCTTTTAACTGATCTTTTAGT